TATCCACGAATCGAGAAAACTAAATAATACGAAGAGATATTTCTAATCACAGACATACAATGTCCAAGCAGTGTAATTGCTACTTTTCATACATGTTTCACACAAACACGTCAAGTAATCGATTAATAAGAGTACAGAATCGGAAGAAAAGGCGTCATAAATGATTATTTTTGTTATACATGTACACCCTCACTCGTCGGAGTAGAGGGAATGCAGGGTCAACTGCACTCCCTCTAGTCCCTCGTCTACTTTGGCCAGTCTTTTTTCTGTTTTTTAATGTCTTTATTATATGGATTTTTTCAATGAGGTCCTCCTCATAATTTCGTAATATTTGTCTGAAAAAAAGATAAATATGCTGATAAAATTTCAACTCTTAATATCGTATGTGAAATAATATATCATCTATTGAAACGTCAAAATGCACACCTGTGGTCGGGCATTGAGACGCCCAACTTCTCGTCATCCGAGCTGTCGTCAGATATCACGATTACATCTCTGGCGTATTTTGAGGCCTCGGAGACTGACTGCAGCTCAATGTCATCAAACCATCAGATGGATTTTGCATCCTCTCTAGAAATGAGAAAAAATAAACAGGACTTGCGATTCCAAAGAAAAAGCTCCTCACTCGAAAAGAGTTCTCTCCTCACAGATGGTTTATTGAGGTCAATGTGTTGTATTTCCCCAAAAGAGAGAATCATCTGTGTCCTTCATCAAGTTATCAAACTGACTTTCCGTAAGAAGGTGGGGGGGGGGGGGTTCCAATAATGGGTCAATATGTACGTCTGCGGTTACAACTTGTTTAAAAAATGAATAAAAATAAAAAACCTTGTTTTAGCATGAGTACGGATATTAAAATTAACGAGATTAATTTGAAAATACATATATAATTACAATCTTTATACCACCCACCTCCTTTTATTTTTTATTAATTATAAACTGAGAAAACTCGCTTGTTCATTTGTTCCATTCTGCTAAAAACTTCCACGAAAATATATAATTATAAAATGTAGCTAAAATGTGGTTATAGAATTCGAAGATTCCAAGAGAAGAAGAAGGTAGAGGGGAGGAAAAGTGTCCTTTTATAGTGTTTGTTCGCATTTCAATTTTGCCTACCATTTCAAACTCGTCCAATAAAAAAAAGATTAGGTCTCTGCAATACTTGCTACATGTATAGGCCATCGACGTTGTTTAGCCCAAGGTTATACACATATTTCTGTATAACTTGACATATATTTTTGCATAACTTGGACACCCTGATCGGTTTTCATTACTGTAATGTATTACTGTAAATTCATGAAACGTAGAGTTTTTTTATTTTAAAACTCTCTGCCCCCGAAGAGAATAAAACCGATTCTTAATAAATATACTTCAATTAAACAAACATATTATTTTCATGTAACTTTTTAAAATAATTGAATGAAACAAAAATAAAATTTATTTCCTTGTGACTTTTGTAAAAGCGCTCAGAGAGAGCCTTAATATTATCATTTCTGCATGTTTATAATTGTTTACTTTTTTCTGCTGTACGCATACACTTCAATAAGCTTAAAAAAGACATTAATCCTAAAATATGAGATCGGATCCACACCCTTCCAACGTTTTTCGCGGTAGCGGGAAAGTTGCACGGACTTCATCCGGGGATCTTGAAGTGTGAGACGTGGACTTCAGGATGGCCGAGTGCAAGATGGGACTTGTCATGCTTCTGGTTATGTTATTCTCTCATAACATTTTGTGTTGTTTGAAAAAACAGATTTTTAGACTGTCGGGAAGACATCTCAACCACTATTACGGTACCAAAGATGTTACCCCCATGCAGTTATGTTTGGATTCATGGGGACCAGGGGTTAGGAATCCCTCATTCATCCCCATCGTCTAAAAAGTAGAAAGAGAAAGCCAGTTCGAATAATTTGAGATACCGTTTGTGTTTAAAATAGAGATGACGAATAAAATACTAGGATATGCCGCCCGAGTATTTTTTTTTTAGTATTTTTCGTGTGTCAGCTGGCAATGTTAGTAATTTCAAGTCAATCAAGTCTTTTAGTTCCTTTATTCTTCAATTAAACTGGCGATCGTATATGCCATTGTTGTAATTTAAACTGGCATGGAGTTTACTTTCTGTATTAAATTGACACAGCTTGTAATCTAGAGGGGTAGGTCTCAAAAGTAAGGCATGATTGTCCAGTGATGGAAGTAAAAAAATCGCAAAGACACGGGCAATCAAAATATCCTTATTTATAGATATGTGGGGTTAAATGATCGAAAATATTTTTTAATGACTATCACCTTAACTAACTAGTCACATTCAATTCTCAATTTCGGCAAACACGGAGAGATAAAGGGGGACAATCTCAAAATACCAAAAAATATTAATTTCCAAACTGTTGTAACTTGCAGACCGGTGTTGTGAAATAATCATGTAGCTATATTATATCAATAATGCACAATGCATATATCGCTGCCAATCGTGTACTTCTATTACTAAAATGTTTGTTTACACTTCCAGAAAAAATAAAATAAAACATAAATGTCAGTTCTAACCAATTTTTTTTTCTTTACAGGCAGTTCTGTGACAGCCACTAGCACTGAAGTTTCCACAACCTCTGATGTTACTACCGGAGTTAGTCCCATGACAACCACTAGCGCTGAAGTTTCCACGACCTCTGATGTTACTTACAGAGTTAGTCCCATGACAACCACTTGCGCTGAAGTTTCCACGACCTCTGATGTTACTACCAGAGTTAGTCCCATGACAACCACTAGTGCTGAATTAAGTTTCCATAACCTCTGGTGTTACTACCAGAATTAGTCCCGTGACAACCACTAGCGCTGAAGTTTTCAACAAACTCTGATGCTACTGTCAGAGTGACAACCACTAGCGATGAAGTTTCCACCACGTTTGATGTTACAGCCCAAGTTTCCACGACCCCAAGTCCATTATCCAACATTATCCATTATCCTTTATTTTTTAGCTCACCTGAGCCGAAGGCTCAAGTGAGCTTTTCTGATCAAAATTTGTCCGTTGTCTGTCGTTGTAAACTTTTCACATTTTCATCTTCTTCTCAAGAACCACTGGTCCAATTTCAACTAAACTTGGCACAAAGTATCCTTGGGTGAAGGGGATTCAAGTTTGTTCAAATGAAGGGCCACGCCCTTTTTCAAGGGGAGATAATCATGAATTTGTTGAAAATTAATGGCATTTTTAAAAAATCTTCTTCTCCAGAACCGCTGGGCCAGGAAAGATGAAACTCATGTGGAAGCAACCTTAGGTAGTGTAGATTCAAGTTTGTTCAAATCATGACCCCCGGGGCAAGGGTGGGGCCAAAATGGCCGACCCAAGTTTTAATTAGGAATATAAAGGGAAAATCTTTAAAAATCTTCTTCTCAAGAACCACTTGGACAGGAAAGATGAAACTCATGTGGAATCATCCTCAGGTAGTGTAGATTCTAGTTTGTTCAAATCATGACCCCTCGGGCAAGGGTGGGGTCAAAATTGCCGACCCAAGTTTTACATAGGAATATATAAGAAAAATCTTTTAAATCATCTTCTCCAGAACCACTAGGACAGGATAGATGAAACTCATGTGGAATCATCCTCAGGTAGTGTAGATTCAAGTTTGTTCAAATCATGACCCCTGGGGCAAGGGTGGGGCCAAAATGGCCGACCCAAGTTTAACATAGGAATATATAGGAAAAATCTTTAAAAATCTTCTTCTCCAGAACCACTGGGCCAGGAAAGATGAAACCCATGTGGAATCATCCTCCGGTAGAGGAGATTTAAGTTTGTTCAAATCATGACCCCCGGGGCAATTTATATTAACAAAAAATTATATTTTTACAGCAACAAGTAATCAACAATAATTTATCTTATTGGTATCGGGAAGTTTATGAATACTTACAGAGACATCAACTACAGTGTACTGTAAGATTTGGCGACCCTATTTCCATTGTTATTAGCTTTGACTTCGTTTCTTGTAGGAAGAGAGATAAAAACTCCTTTCTCGGACCACCCAGGTCTACGGCTTCATCCATGTAGAAGACAACTTTTATATGGAATCGAATGTTCTGTACTTTGACTTCGTTTCTTGTAGGAAGAGAGAGAAAAACTCCTGTCTCGGACCACCCAAGTGTACGGCTTCATCCATGTAGAGGTCAACTTTTATATGGAATCGAATTATCTGTAGTGTAGCAATCTCATCAACGTTGTCTTCAAAGATATTCACACGACTAACAAAAATGCCAGGTGTATCTTCCTACACTACATCGTCTTCTGATACGACATCCAAAGGTCTCCTTTAAAAGAATATATCTTGGTTTGCCTGTAAAATTTTTGTCGATTCTGCGCTGGTCTTTCTTAAAATAATTTTAACAAAATCTAAAATAGTATGAAAAAGGTAAAAAAAAAGTATTAGGGGATCATATAGGGATCAAATACATATACTGCAGTTATGTCCTCTTAGGAAATTGACAATCATAATAAGTTATATTCAATTTACATAATTGTACTGAAAATTAAATGTATGCAAAAACTCTCTGGATGAATAACTAACTATCATAATTATGAATGCTTGAATGTTCATCTATAAATCTCCCAAGATATTTTTTAGTTTACATATTCATGACCATAGCATGCATAACAGTATATATTCTCGATCATGACATCCCTATTCAATTCCCCTCTTTGACATCTTTTCTCAGTCACCAATTAGTTCAACAGTCATTAGGGTACTCAGATCTTTCAGGTGGTTTACAAAAACTGTCCTAATAATAAACATCATTTTCAAAATTATATAGAAAAACGTCAATTTTTTTAATTAAAAAAAAGGTTTACTGTGACATTACTTCTATAGAAATTTAAGCACAGGCTTTGAAAGACATAATTCGGCAACTTTAAACATGTATAACTAAACATAATAGAAATGCCGACAATAAGACTCAACGGGTTGGGGAAAACGTAAATTTCGCTATAATAGTGGTGTAGTGTCCGGAAATATCCGTCCCGCCGTCCCGGGTTTATAATTTAGTATATATTGTTTGTTTCCTCCCAAGTCAAGAGCACAACGTGTTTTCACTAATCTTGTTTGTCTTGTCCTCTCATGGAGTAAGCTTCATCGCTTTTTTTGTTTTGTGTTCATAAATTGATTGATATGTTTGATTATCATGTACGCTAAATGTCATTGGTAAATATTTTGTATATTTTGCATAATTCTGCATCATTATCTGTTATGTTTGTAACCGGTGTATTTAAATATGGCGGATCGTTTAGGTCATTTTTATATACTTAGGTACCATATCAATTTACTGTATTGTGTCATTTTCTATTCATCAAGTCTGTCAATGATTAATAATCACAGTTAATAAGAAGTTGATTTGTCAGTTTAATATTTTGTTGTGAAACCTGTAATTTGATTGTGTCTAAATGTGTGTCATTTATTTGTAGTTTATTACCCTCTTCCGAGAGGTATGTGAATAAAGCATAACAGCACAGTAAAAAATCCACTTCTTGGACACAGACTCATCATGGTAGATGCTCCGGCATTAAGACAATCCCGCAACATTACATCACCCGCCATGGAACATTTTGAGGAAAGAGTCAACCGATACGTCTTCAAATTGGGTAACCTAAAAAGGGACACTGACTCAATTGTAATAGACATGGGGGAAAATCCAGTTATGAACTTTGATCGTGCAAAGACTTACAAAGTTTCCCTAAACAAATACATGTTGCAATATGAAAAGGCCTCCGCGGAATATGCAACATTTCTTCAAAGTCAGCGCCACGAAGCCAGTAGGAGAGAGGAAGCATCCAGGTCCCTCAACGCCACTTCACTACACGAAAAGGTGACAGCAGTGTTAAAGCAATTGAACTCTATATTACCTGATACAAGATCACATAAGTCTCACTCTCTATACAGTCACGGATCCTCATCTTCACTTCTCACATCGGTAGTATTGCAACACACCGCAAAGGTTGAAGAAGCACGGATGAAATTAAAGTATGCCGAGGAGGAAGCGGAGCTGCCGAGGAGGAAGCGGAGTTGCTGAGAAATGAAGCGGAGATCAAGGCACGGATGAAATTAAAGTATGCAGAGGAAGAAGCGGAGCTGCTGAGAAAAGAAGCGGAGATCAAGGCAGCCCAGCGTCTGCTTTCAGTCAAGAAAGAGTTCGAGGCAGCCCAATCAAGTCTAACGGCCATAAAGAAATGTCTTGAATATGACTCTCTTGGAGAAAGCTACATATAACCCTGTGAAAATGACATACATGATCTGCATGAAACAGACAATTCTTACACAGCTGAGCCGTCCAAACATCAAAATCAATGTGACTATACAGAGAAGCCAAGCAAATTTATGAACACTTCTATGCCGAGTGAACACGCCAAACATTCTGAATCTTCAGGAAGACCAAAAGAACCTGTGAACATCTATACAAGTGAACGCTCAGATCAAGTTGAATGTATTTCCCAGGCGCCAGAAGGAAAAACACAGAAACCTCTGAACCCAACAGCTCCAGAGTTTGTTGCCGTTCAACATGAGAAAGGTGTTATGAGTGAAACAAATGAACTTGCTAAGTTGTTAGCCAAAAAGCAACTTATTCCAACAAGACTTGCTGCATTTGATGATGTCCCAGGACATTACTTCGTCTGGAAATCAACATTTGAAAATGTGACCAATGAACTTGGTGCTTCTACTATGGAAAATCTTGACCTCTTGATCCAGAACCTTGGAATGAAGTCTAAGCAGCAGGCTCTCAACATTCGTTCAGCAAACCCTCATGACCCCCCCCCCCCCCGAGCATTGCGTCAGATATGGGAAAGATTGGATTCAAGATTTGGAAGCTCAGAAAGCATTGAATCATCACTGAAGAACAGAGTCGCAGCTTTCCCTACCTTAAAGAACTCAAACAGAAGTGAACTTTTTGAACTTGCAGACATTCTCATGGAGATTGAGTCAATTATGCGAAATGAAAAGTACGCAAAACTATTCTCATATTAAGACTCGTCAGGAGACTTAAACCCGATTGTCCGAAAGTTACCTTCAAGCATTATGGGGAAGTGGACGAATGAAGCTAACAAGTATAAACAGAAAAATTGTGTCATCTATCCGCCATTTTCCGTCTTCTCCGCATTTTTGAATAACATCGCAAAGATACGCAATGACCCTAGTTTCATATATGAGACTACAGAGAGTATGCAGCAGAGTACTAGTGATGGAGGTAAACCTATCAGGAGAACAAGTTATATCAAGACGCAAGTGTCCTCAGATGTGACCACAGAAAGCTGTCCAGTACATGGCACAAACCATACACTCAGTGCTTGTAGGCAATTTCGCACAAGGCCGCTACAAGAAAGGAAAGACTTCCTCAGAGAAAATGGCCTCTGTTTCAAGTGTTGTGGAACAAAACGTCATTTCCAACCAAACTGTAAAATGACTGTAAAGTGTGATGTTTGTAACTCTTCAAAACACCCTTCCGCACTTCATCCAGACATTCCAAAATCCGTCGTGAAAGCTAACGAGGGGAAAAATCGATTCAAAAAGTGAATGTAACAAACAAGTGTACAAAATATGTAACACTCAAGGAAACACATCGAAATCGTGTGCCAAGATTATGTTAGTAAGAGTGTACCCCAAAGGAAGAAAAAACTTGTCAAGAGAACTCCATTGTATGATAGACGAACAAAGTAATCGATCCCTTGCAGTCTCACAGTTTTTCAACGCTTTCGCGGAAAGTGGAGGTGAAATGGAATACCTCCTATCCTGTTGTGCGGGTAAATTCAACACTGCAGGACGCAGAACATCGGGGTACATGGTAGATCTATTAATGGTACATGTACTTTGCAGCTGCCTGATTTGATAGAGTGCAACGATATTCCTAATAACAGAGAGGAAATACCGTCACCCGAAGTGGCACAGGGTTTTCCTCACCTGAAGGACATTGCACATTTCATACCCCCTGTGGTGAAAGTATCGACATCGAGTTAATGATCGGTCGTGACCTCATTATGGATCACCATGTGTTAGACCACATGTGTACAATCGGCATCTATGTATGTATATATGACCAATGGGCCAACAGCGGCACATAGTGGACAGTCAGTCTCTAACACCACTGTACAATCAGCACCTATGTATGAACGTACGACCAATGGACCAACAGTGACACACAGTGGACAGGTTTGCTCCTAACACAACTGTACAATCAGCACCTCTTTATGAACGCACAACCAATGTACCAACAGCGTCGCATAGTGGATATTCGGCTCTAAACACTACTGTGCACTCGGTAACTCCGATGAGTAACTTTCCTATGCAGGTGACAGTAGGGCACCAGATGCCCATACCTTTGTGCGTCCCCCAATGCAGACTGGCATGTCATTCACTCACATAATGTGACAAGTCTGGGAGTAGTGTCAAGTGTATTACGTGGAATCTGCATAAGGGACTGCGTCAAAAGTTGACGGACAGTGAATTTATATATATTGTAAACAATAATGATATTATAATATTATTAGAATGTTGGATTACATTTGATGATATTATTGAGTAAGATAATTATGATTGTCATACTTTTCCTAGGATTTGTGGAAGAGGTGGATAAGTTATGTTCTGTAGACCTTCACTATCGCTTAAGGATAATGTTGTTGAAAATCTTCATAATACAATTATTTGGTTAGAATTATGTAACCAATTTCACCATGACGTTATACCTGTTTATTTAGCCGCTTGTTATATACCACATGAAAATAGTACTTTTTATCAGAAAGAGATGGTCGACATTTTTTAACATTTTCTTGTAGAATCAGTTTGTAACTTCACTAGCAAAGAATATGTATATGTTATGGGTGATTTTAATGCAAGGAGTGGTAATTTATACGACTTTATCTCAAATGATAAGTTAGAGAATAAGGTATCTAATAATCTTCAATCATTTGCAGACTATTAATTCGATACACCACCACCAACAAATTATGTTCCAAAAATATCAGTGTTCATGGCATGGGAGATGGAAGGAAGGCAGACAACTACGACATATGGAATTATGAGGTGGAATGTCTGATTAAATCACAATACAGCGAAGCAACAATAGCTTAAGCTATAAGAAGATCACTAAGAATTGAAGCAAGTAAGCCTAAATGCAACTTGGTCCTGATGCATCAGTCCACCAGATGTTACATAAATTAGATAATATAATTTGGGTGTTGAATTTTATAGAACAAGTCAAAAAAAGCATCGATAGCATCGTGTGGATTTGTAGACTCGAAAAATTTTCCAGGAAGGCTTTGATGAATGGAAAAGTTCAAGAAAGTGAGAGAAATGAAAAACTTCGATCAAGATTATGGAACGAATTACAACAATGGCTGAAGGACATAACCGGACTTCTTAAAGCATGGAATCTTAAATTAACATTCAATCAATTAGATCTTTTGTTGAATGTATGGCAAACCAAATATTTTAAGTTAAATATGTGTTATTATGTAAATTTGCAATAAATTGATCTTAAACATGTTTTATCTTCAGTGCAAAATTATCCAAAATTATTACAATTGAGAGAGCTCAGCTCCGATAAAAACTACATTCTCGACTCTAGAGCATGTAGAATTTCAACCACTAGGAGAGTTCATTATGAGAAAAGAAATTTGAGTCCTTAGTATTCTGGCGAGTTTCTGGAGTAAGAAATCTTAGGGATATAGAAAATCAAAGTACTGAAAGTACTGTTAGACGGAGGCTTCATGCATGAGAGAACAAAAAAGAAATATATATGTCATACATTGCTGTAAAGTATATTATGAGAAACTAGATACGATCTCGTTGCGAGCAACGAGAGGTCTTCCGTCCGATTCGGAAAAAAACCCCTAAAATCTAGCTGAAAATATTGCACAGAGGGGGATTGAATCCAAGTCGCCAGAATGAAAATCCAACGTGCTAAATATAACGTACGCTATTGGGACCTCTTCTCTGAATCTTCTTGTATATACAGTACCTCTGTGTAAAGTGCTTTTGTCTTAGAATTATGAAAGGCTAAGTCACTATTCATAATTTCACGCCAAACGCCACGAGTTAATCTTCGCAAGTAACACTAAAACAGTGAAGCGGCTATGAATTTTAACTTTTTTTTTTTGAAATTTCATGTTTATCGCCAAAGTCAACTATCCCGATTCATGAAGAGATTCAAATGTTTTGCCAAAAAGAATGGTTCACCTTACGACGGTCAAGGCATTGGATACCGTTTGTGCTCAATAACTTGAATAAGATCTTTGAGACAATAATGTTAATATAAACGCCGTTAAGCGATCTTCTAAAAAACATGGTTATTTTCTTTTGTCTTTTCTATTAGTTTAATATGGCACAAGTGTGCATGGGGAAAAATTGGGTAAGTTTTTTTCTTACTGTATTCATTGATATTCTTTTTTGAAAAAAATATTACTTGTAACAATGATTTGAGATCTGCTTTTCCGTGGTGCAATCAGAAGATATTAGGTATCGAATTTCATTTGCGCATTTAGTCTTTTCTTTTTCTATTTTAAGAACCAACCAAAATCAATTATAGAAGACGTTTAAGAAGAACTTAGTTTGACACAGAATTGCAACGTAACTACGACGTGCCAAGTACTCCTTTAATTTATATTTCATTTGTCCTTGTGTTACTTTCGTTTAAGCAAACGCTCAGATGCCTCCTTAAACCCCTATTGCGAAATGTCGGACTTTACAGATAGAGCGGCCATTTTGGAATGCTTAAGATTTTTAAATGCTAATATCTAGAGTTTAGATCTATCAATATTTAAACAAATTATATAGTAAGCATTATAAGAAAAGTCTCTATTAACATACCAAAAATAAACGAAAAATATTGAAAAACAAAAAAAGTTGAAAAATTGGACTTTTTAAATTGGCTTCCGGTGGCAACCGGAAGTAATGACGACAAACGAAATGTCGCGTCCTGGATAGTATTTTTCTTCATCTATGATCTCTGAAAGTTTCACATTGATATATTTTACCGTTCTTGAGAAAATCCGTAGACAAAATGTCATTTTAAAAATCAGAAAA